ATGCCCCAAAGCTCAAAAAACCTGCACAGGTCCATTTTCTGTGGGAAAAATGGTATCACTCACCCAAGCAGTTGATTAATTGATATGTCAAAACTGCAACTCCCTGAGGTTTCCCTTTCATGAAATGTTAGGCTCTGTATCATCATCCCAACACTGCCATTCATTATCACACCATTCACTGCCTATTGTACGTGTACCTGTGATCATCAATTCCACATGTGGATACATGCAAATTGGTTTTAAATTTCATTAAATTTTTTTTATCTGCAACAGGTGGAAATGTAAAGGCAGAAAAAGATGCAGTTTCCGTTGGGGACGCTACTGGTGGGGGCGGTCATGTTGAGTCCCTCAGCATTGGAGAAACAAAGTGAGTTACCTCAAAAATTCAATTGCTACAGGTTCCAGTTGATCATGCTGGGGGGTGTCAGTGCAGTCAACCTGAAAGTACACTCTGAAGCTTGGAAAGAAGTATCCTCCTACTGTCAACAACTCTCAGATCCTCTAAAAATATTATACAAGAACAGGGGCTCACATTCCGTCCAAAGACAATTTCTTTTTTACAAATAGCGGGAGCTGCCTTTCTTTCTTTCCGTGATTGGTTGCATGCAATAAAATGGGTCCAGTTGGGCTCTAGATACGACATTGCTATTTTTGCCATTCTTTGTTCAAAATTTATCTTTGGCAGCAGAAAGCATTTTTGGCAAGTTTGACTGGCTTTTTGTACCCTGCAGATTGCCCATTTGAGCTGATGTTGCCCCAGACACCATGCTGGCATCAAGGACCAATTGCTCTGTCAATTTTGCCTGGTGCCCGTGAGTTTGTTCACAGGTTACCTCAGAGAAATCAATCAGTGGTCCAGAAATGGCTGATGCCTGAATGTGTCAAATGCATATGGTGATTTGGACGTATTGTTTCAATCTCATTGACAGCAAAATTCGAGCCAAGCTCGGACTACCCCCCTTGAAGGTGGAAGGAAACACCAGCCAGCCAGCCGGGGAAGGCGGGGATGCAGCAAAGAAAGAGGGAGGAGACGTCCACAAGCCAGCCACCAACCTTGGGGAGAAGAGGAAAGCAGAGGAGATGAAGGCCAAGCTGGCTCTCATCAAGGAAAAACGCAAGATCAACCAGAAGCTGCAGTGAGGATTGTTGCATTGTTTGGTCCACTCTGAAGACTAGATTGGGTGGAATTTTGGAGTTAGGATAGAATGGGTGCATAGGGCTAGCTGCAGGAAGGGGTAAATAGTAAGTAGTGATTTCTCAGGAGGTTGGAGGTGGGTTGGATGGATCAAATCCAATCAGGCTTAACAAGGTTGGTGGGTTAAGCTTTAGATTAAAGCTGTGACTCTGAACGCAGTACTTGAATACCCGACTAATGATGTCAAGAATCAGTCCCAAATTATGTTATTTCATGTAGTCGCCTGTTACCACCTAGATACAAATTACTTTGTACCTGTTCAGATAAACAAAAGGAAGGGTCTTACAAGGTTTTTCCGGGGAAATTCTGAATTTGGACAGAAAAGAAAAGATTTCATGTGAACATAGATATACATAGGTTGTCAGTGAACATTTTGGGTAATTAACAGTTTGAATGCTCGTTCACATGCTCTGTCTGCTTGTCTTTGAATTTTGGGGTTATGGGTAGCTGAATTAAGTGTGCCTAGGTTAAGATGGGGTAAGATTAGTAGAATGCAAGAAGGTTCTTACCAAACTAATTTCCCACTGAGTTCAGGCTGGTTAATAGTCAGTGGAACATGGTGAACACCTTACACTGATGGTTGCAGGATGCTACAGCCTTATGAGGCAGTTCATTGTCTTTGCACAATGCAGGTTGGTAACCCTCTCAAAGTTGAACTATTTAAACTCTGTGGCAATGTTGCTAGTTTTTTCAGTGATTAGTCGCCAGCGTCTCAACAGCAGCTATAAACCGCGTTGGAGACAATCAAGCATCCGTTTTTTTTTCAGTCACACAGTGGACTTTAAACACAGTCTTTAAAATCAATTGGTTCACATGTGTTCCTGCCACCAGGAAAGTCAAGAAGTTAGCAGACCAAGAAGATGATCTGGATGACGTGACGGCCTGGGTGGAGCGGAGCCGGAAGAACCAATTGGAAAGGGACATGGCAGCCAAGCGAGCTCGGATGTTGGAGGAGATGGATGAAGAGTTTGGGATCGGCGCCCTGGTGGAGAACGAGTTTGCCCCCAAGAAAGACGATGTGGGTGAAGCTATATTTTGTTGTCGCATTTTCAGTCCCCTGGTCTGGAGGGTTCATATTCATCAACCTCTCATCCGCATTTTTTGGGGATGTTTTTCCTGGTAGCACCAACTCTGACCACGTACATACACTACAGCCAGTGGTGTGCAGAATAATTGTACAGCCTGTGAAGGCCATGAAAAAGTTGAATCCCATCCAAACTTTCAAAGAATTTGTTCAAATTTCTCTGCTGATGCAGTAAGCACTGTTGGAGATGATATTTTTGCACACATGGGCTGCCTGCCAGCTTGCGGCCTAGACTAGGCTGCACTGAGACTCAGCTCGGCATCTAGTGACTGATTTCATTATTTACATGTTGCTGTATTAGCCGCCCAGAGTATAAGCCACAAGGAAATCTTTTGGCGTGAGAATCAACGTATAAGCGGCGACCCTATATTCCATAAATTGTGGTGCATGTACTGTCTCATGCAGGGTTTCAGACATACTCCCTTTGTTCAAAGAGCATGTCTTCCTTGCTCGAGAAGAGGGTCTCTTTTTTTCCATTTTTGAGACAATGCAGAGTTTTTCACTCTGTGCCAAAATAAGTAACAGAATTACTTTGTACATTTAGCAAATATAGAAAATATATGATTTGCTCTCAAAGGAAACATGTTTTCGTTAAATGTGTGTTGAAACTTTTCCACGTTTAACCATTCAGGTTTACAGCTCCAAAGACATCCATGACTTGAAGGTCTTACATTCAGTCAGCGCCTTCAAAGAAGGCAAAAATGTCATCCTAACTCTAAAAGATGCAGGTAAGCTTCTGTCTCCTCCGAAACCCTTTATCTCCCATTAACGTTGATTGCTTCTTCGTACTCAACACTCAATTTTTTTCAGTGGTAGGTAAAAATGTGGCAGACTGTCAGTCCAAAAGTAGAAGAATAATTTACTTAGTACACTGTATTAACAAAATGTCACACAGCTATCAAAACAACAGATGATCAATGCTATTACCAAATACTAAATGAAAATAAAACCTGCTTTTAAGTGTAATGGGGCAAGTGTGCTTTCTTGGTTAAAACCTGACACCAAAAAAGGGTGACATTTCTGCAAACTTGGCTGTCCATAGGAAGATTGCTCAAAATGAGGGAGTCTGTAGGAACTCTGGTGATCCTATTGTTCCCAACTGGGAACAATAAGGTCTTTCAAGTTGAGCAAGCATAGCATTGTTGACCCTAATTTTGCCAAATCCTCCCCACATCTTCCTTGAGTAAGTAGAAGATTTCAAAGGATCAAGGCTGTATAGAAGAATTTTCTTGCTTATATTTTGAAGGCTGCATGCATTGTGTTTCTAGCCATACCTTCCATTCAGCCATGCATAAAGGCAGGTCTACATTAAAGAGTACCAAAGTATGACATTATGAACCAAGAGGTGTAGTGCAACCGATTGGAGTTTATGCGCATGTTGGTTCTTTCGCTGGTTCTCGCTCTGATATCTTTTAACACGTAAAATGCTCGTGACATATTCACTTCGGCACTTTATACAAAGACTATAATTCAAGAAGCAGTGGTGGAGGCACAATGCTCGTGGACAGGTGGCATGCCCGTTACATGCCCCTTTCATCAATAGGGTGCTGTGAATTACCAAATGTACACACGTGTCAAGCAGTTACTACCAAAGGATTCTGAATGATTGAGGCAGCGCTCACTTTTCTAAGGAACACATTTTAAAAAAACTAGGAGTTTAGAGGATCGAGACATCCAGTTTTTAATGGAGACAGTTGGAGGATTTTGCAGTCCTGAATGAGAAAAAGCAAAATGACCTCTGGGTGTTATGGTAAATTCTGAGACTTTTCCCTGTTCTTGCTTCTGGATGACAGATGTCCTGGCAGAGGATGAAGACGAGTTGATGAACGTCAACATTTTGGACGATGAGAAGGCAGCCAAGAATGTGGAACTCAGGAAGAAGAAAAAAGACTACAGGCCTTACGAGGATGACACCTTCGATGAATATGGGATGGTACGTATGTCTAGAAATACCTATATTTGATTTCTTATAAGTTATTGCCTCTTACGTTTGCAGTAAGGCTAAAAAGAATTACCAAGGTACATATTGGTTCTGAAAGTGTGGACAAATGTTAAAACAGTTTGAAATGGTTTTAATGTGGGCCTTGCATACACTGCATATATATACTGTTACAAGCAATTACAATGCATGACGCATTTCTTCCCAGTCAAATCATGATTGAAACAATTGAAAATTTCTTGATCTGTCCTCTGGCTTCCCCTGACTACCACCAGCCTATTGAAAAGGTACATGCAAATAATACCATATGATATATTGTAGGATTGTTGCTACTTTAGAAAATGGACTATTATCATGCCTTCGTTACACAAATGTTGAAGTATATTTCATTCGCCCTTGTCAGAATATACATGTATTGCTTTGCAATGGAGGTTAAGGACGGATTCAACATTAATCGTGTGTGGCCATTTTGCAGTTGAAGCAACGCGACGTCTTGACCAAGTATGATGAGGAGATCGAGGGCCCCAAAGTGGAATCCTTTCGGCTCGGTGGCTCAATCTCGGCCTATGACGATGAGGAAAAGCGACTGGAGAGAATACGAGAAAGCCTGAAAGCTCAGGCGGTAAGGGTTGCTTGTTTTAACCACTTGCCTACATTCCATGGGGCCCAGACTCAAGCTGTGCTTCCTGAATTGACCTGTGTCTGCTTGTAAATTTACACCTTTTGCAGTAAATACATTTTTTCTGTTCCCTTCTTTGACTCTTCTTTGCATTTTCATTGCACTGTTAGTTTGTACAGTGAACTTTAAATGTAAACAAATTCAAAGATAAGTGAATGGCTTTGAAACATGGAGTAAATTTTGTTACAGAATCCCCCAGAGCTCTGGCATCTAAGAAATTTTTTTAAAAGTAAGTTTGAGCAATGATGGCATTTACCCAGTTTTGTGAAACAGATGTTTGGTTGTACTACGCCAAATGATACACATGTAGCATGATTTGAAGTGCACATAAGCATACACGGCTGCCTCCATACACATGAACTACTATTTATCCTGGCAGTCTCGTATGCCTTTGTGGGAGTTTTCATTACGAAAGGGACGACAGTGCCAACCCTCATGTGGGTAAAACAACTCTGACTGTTGCGTGTAAGTTGTAATGGCGTGTTGAATGTAGCAGTGGTGAAAGATAACTGCTCATTCAAATCTGATTGAGAACATTGGCATA